TCTACCACAAGTGTATTGTTGCAGATGCAGTTAGGCTAATTTTAACAGCTTATTATTTGATCCACCTTTTAACCCATTTTAAGTTTGTTCTAGTTTTTACTATTTTCTGCTTTATTTCAATTGAGTTTTTTTCTCCATTTTACTTGGTTAATGCTGATAGCTTTTCTGTTGTTTTCTTTTTAAAATGTCTTTCTGTATGTGAAATCCAAGATAGTTAAGTCTACAGATATTGGTTTAATGGTTCCCTGGAGGTATGGAATCTGAGGGAAATGGTGGGGAGCGGCTAATAATGATTATTAGACTGAAGAAAATGTTACAAAATTGATTGTGGTGATTATTATACAACTCTTCCTAATACTCATATGATTGAGCTCTTGAAGTGTATAGTTTGTGAATTACATTCCAATAATTTTTTTTAATGAGGACAGCTACTGTATGAGACCACTGTTAGAGGGGAAAATCAAGTTAAAAGCTTTCATATCACAGGAAACAGACTCGGGAGTTTTCCAAGTGTGGAGGACCAGGGAGGGGAGATAAAGCAATGAGGTAGACTGTTGACAGTGTCAACTTTGGTAAAATAGAAGGTAGTACGCCACAAGAGGGAGAAGAGAAATCAGGGAGTGAGTGAATGATAAACTATTCGAGGTTTTGATGAGTGGTCTGAACTATTGAATGCCAAGCTCATGATCTGAAATGTAAACCCCCAGCCAATGTACAATTTAAAAGAAAAAGCTGTGCAAGCAAGTCTAGCAAACTACCAGGAAAGGGTGGAGGAGGAAAATGAAAGGTTCCAAGCGGTGTCTCCAAGACAGGAAAGGAAGAAAGGGAGAGAGGGAAGGAAGAAAAAGAGCTGATGGATTTATGATAGAACTGAACATTCATATTGGAAAATATTTTACAGAGAATTTATAGTGTGGGAAGACGTCGTTATTCAAAAATAATGAAACAATTAAGGAGGAAAATAATCAGGAAAATATTTTCACCAAAAAAAGCCCACCAAAAACCAAACAGATGTCCTCTACATGTATGGTCATAAAAGCTGAATGTGGATGTAACCAGAAATAAATATCATAGAATATATAAGTAATACAACTACTTTGGCAATGTAGTCTAGAAAAGTACATACCACTTAGAAATGGTGAGATACATAAAAGATACAGGTAAAGGACAATGGCTTAAGAAGAGTTTAATTAGGGGGGAATTAGGTGAGGCAAGGGTGATATTAGGGAAATGGTTTTTTTGTTTGTTTTGCTAGAAGCGCTTGAGTTCAATATGCTTTCAATCTAGTTTATTGAAGTGATAATCGTTTATTTTTAAAAATTAAGAGTGCAAGGGCTTAGGTTTGTGTGGTTGTTGCTGTTGTAATGTGCTGTGTCGTTGATCCCGTTCTGACTCAAACAACCCCTTGTACAGCAGACTGAAATGCTGCCAGGTCCTGAAGCATCCTCACAGTAGTCACGTTTGAGCCCACTGTTGCAGCCACAGTATCAATCCATCTGGTTGAGGGCCCTATCTTTTTCACTTCCCCTCCACTTTACCAAGCATGATGTCCATCTCCAGGGATTGTCTCTCCTGACAACATGTCCAAAGTACATGAGAAGAAGTGTAGTCATCCTTGCCTCTCAGGAGCATCCTGGCTGTACTTCTTCCAAGACACATTTGTTTGTTCTTTGGGTAGTCCAAGGTTCTTTCAATATTCTTTACCAGCACCATAATTCAGACACATCTATGGTTCTAGGTCTTTATTCAATACTCAGCTTTCATATGCTTCTCAGACAATTGAAACTATCATGGCTTTATGTCAGACACACCTTAGTCTTCAAAGTAACATCCTTGCTTTTCAACACTTTAAGGAGATCTTGTGGAGAAGTTTTACCCAGTGTACTTTGTCATGTGAGCGCTTGACTCCTGCTCTCATCAGCACTGATTGTGGATCCACACAAGACAAAATCCTTGACAACTTCAGTCTCGTATGCACTTATTATGTTATCTGTTGGCCCATTTATGAGGACCTTGGTCTTCTTTCCATTAAGCTGTATTCCACACTGAATGCTGCAACCCTTGATATGCACATTCTTCAAGTCATCCTCACTTTCAGCAAGCAAAATTGTGTCATCTGCATATAGCAAGTCCTTGAGCCTTCCTAATCCTGATACCTAATTATTCTTCATATAATCCAGCTTCTCTTACTATTTACTTGGCATACAGATCCACTAATATGGTGAGAGAACACAACCCTGACAAGCATTTTTCCTGATTTTAAACCATGCAGTATTCCCTTATTCTGCTTACACAACTGCCTCTTGATCCATGTACAGGTTCTACAATGTACAATGTAATGTTCTAACATTCCCAATCTTCTCATGGCTATCGATAGTTTGTTATCATCCACACAGTCAAATGCCTTGGCATAATCAATAAAACACAAGTAAACCTCTTTCTGGAATTCTCTGCTTCAGCCAACATCCATCAGATATCAGCAACAATACCTCTTGTTCTACCCTCTCTTCGGAAAATCTTACCTGAACCTCTGGCAGCTCCTTGTCAATATACTGCTGCAACTGTTTTTGGATGATCTTCAGCAAAAATTTACTTGATAACCCTTGTTCCATGTTTGCTTCTGAATTTGGACTGAACCTCAGACAGCTAGAAAAGACAAAGTGAAATATTATAATGAAATATGCAAAAACCTAGGGTTAGAAAAACAAAAGGTAAAAATGCAACATATCTTGAGCTGGAAGACCTCAAGAAAAATTCAAGCCTTGTGTTGCAACATTAAAGATTTCATTTGCAATATATTTAATGATAGCCGGAAGCATCAAAAGAAGATGGAAAGAATACAGGGTCACTGTACCAAAAAGAACTGGTCAACAACCCATCGTTTCAGAAGGCAGCATTTCAGAAGGTGAGCAAGAACCAATGGTGCTGAAGAAAGTATTAGCCCAAACAAGGCTCAGCATACAGACTGAATAAGTATGGTGAATACCAATGTAAATGGTTCAACAAGTTGATGAAAACCTGGGAGCACACACTCATTTATGCCAGGAAATTTGGAAGACAGCTGCTTGGCCAACTGGAAGAGATTCATATTTGTACCCATTCAAAGAAAGGTGACCCATCACAAGTGGTCAAATTATAGAACAATATCATTAACATCACATGCAAGTAAAATGTTACTGAAGATCCAGTTACCATAGTTTCCCATGTATTTGAAACTGCAGTCAGTGAAGTCTTTAACTACTTAACCTATATTAGTAACCTGATTGCTAAATTATAATTTGGTTAGTTCTCCACAATTAAGACTATTATATCCTAAAATAGCTGGTGCATGCTAACTTGCTAATTTTTGTTGGACAAAATATTCCTAGAGCTATGACAAGTATCTTTGGGGTGCCCCAACCTCGTGCCGTACTTCCATTTCTAGTGGGCTGGAAGTTATTTGTACGACTGAGCAAAACATTAAATTTTATTGATTTCTACCTCATTTTGTCCCATTATTAAAGAGTTATTATTTTAAGATTTTAAAATAAACATATTTTTGTTGGGTTCAGTTTTATTTACTTTTTTTATGATTAGTTTAAAAACACAGATCAAGATTTTCTGAAACCAGACATAGTTCCATGGAAAAAAGCTAGATGGCATTAATGCCAGGCAAACTACTCTCGTTTCAAAATACAGCCTCACAAGAATTCAGTAGATTTCAGGGAATCATTAAAAATGTTTTAGAGTCTCATTTATAAGTATGAAGATTTGAATTTTCTAGGGGAAACAATACTTGTTAACTTCCCCTCACACAAACTGTAATTAATAAGGTTATGTGCAGCATATCTTATACGTGCAGCTGTATCTATAGGATAAAATCCCCAAAGTAAAATTCCAGAATCAAGTGGTTTCTCTTAATACTTTATAGTAATCAGTCACTAACTAAATTAATAACTAAATCATTAATGGGGAAATGTATATATACATACACACAGACACTTACATACATGTAAATTAATCATTATTTAATGGCACAATATTTATGACTTAATATTGATTGATTCTAATGACTGACTGAAGGAGTGAGAGCATCTATTAGAACTGGAAATAGTGATAAGAGGGAAGAATTAAGTTATCTGTTAGCTTAATGTACTTTTCAATTTGTTTTAATATGACTAGCTATGGTGCAGTGAATTACTTAATATTGCAGGAAACCACATAGAAGTGGTCATATCTGACTTCCTCCGGTTTCCCTATTGCCAAGAGGTAGGGTCACACATGCCCCAACCCTCCATCCTTCTTTATCCTATTCTAACACCAACTGTTCCTCGCACGACCCTCTGCTTCTATGCTGGGTTTGATCATTCTTTGCAATGGCCACACAGAGCTCACAGACAATACTCACAGTTAAAGGGGCTTATTAGGGAAGCTAATAGGTGACCCTAAGTCAGGATGATGGGGGGACTTGAAGAGTCAACTCACTATCACTTTATGATGGAAATATAACATGGGTTAGAACACAGCAGATTATATCGTTTGTCAAGACATAGCTTAACTAGAAGTCCTCCAGAGCTGTGACCCCCTAGCCTTCTCACAGGGAATCCTGCAATTGTGTGCAGACACAATTCTCCAGAACACTAGCTAAGTCAAAGATTTGATGCTTAGCTAAGTGTTATGAATCTTCCCCAGGCTTCCTTTCCCATTCATTAAGAACCAGTTTCTGCATACCCAGCCTTTTTCCTCCAAACTCAGTCTCTCGAACAGTTAACACTTTGTCACTTGATCCCTCCTTTGCATGCTGCTGCTGAACCCGATGTGGTTTTAACATGCTCTGGTGTTTTGTTTTGTTTTTGTTCCTTCACATGATGGTGTATCTCAGAGTTGTTATGTTATTGGGGTCACCCTCTTGAAGTTGTGTTATATGGTTTTCTGTTTTTGGTATCTGAAACCCAGTTTTGATGAACCTACAGGGACAGCAAGTAGAATAAGAGTTTCAGGGAGCAGGAGTAAAGTAGTGGGAATTGGGGAGGGTAAAAGGGAGGCAATGTCAAGGAGACCAGGAAGAAAAAGAGTGTTTGGAAACTGATTGTGGCAGCAATTGTATAGTTCTGCTTGACATGATTGAACTATGGAATGATATGATAATGTATTAACTCCCAATTAATAATAAATTATTTTTTAAATAATAATAATAAAAACCCAAATTGAGGGTGCAGAGTGTCTTCCAAAACCCCATGCACAAGTGGAAGTAGAAGACAACAGAATTTTTCCATGAAATTTTTAGTTCCTTCATATGATACAAAGGTGTTATCCTAAAAGGAAAAACTGGACAACAGTGAATGCCCTAGAAGTATTGTAATTCAAGACAGATAATCTACCCCGAGAGCAGCAGTTCTCAACTTGTTGGTCACGACCCCTTTGGGGGTCGAACAACCCTTTCACAGGGGTCGCCCGATACATAACAGTAGCAAAATGACAGTTATGAAGTAGCCACAAAAATAACTTCACTGTCGGGGGTCACCACAACATGAGGA